TTCAGTTTTAGTGTACCACATCCCACAATTCTTAAAGAAATATGGAACTCTCCATCAATTCAACTGTCAGACAGTTGAGAAGGTAATAATGTGATCATTATCATTCTACTGATGATTAGTACTGTATGACAAAGATTACTAATATTTATTTTCATTAGGTTTTCAAATAGGCCCTATAGTATCACATGGTATTCTGTGCTTTAAATTTCCATAGTACAGGAAAAGACAATAACATATATTGCAACCTAGCAACTCTTGAAAAAGAAAATAAAACAYAGTGCAATGTAATTTTACAGTTGGACTTTTCATTTCAAAATAGAAAAAMCATCTGCAGAACCGGACCTTCCACAGAGGAAGCCAAAAAGGAGGAAGAAACTCTAATTACACAGTCCAAGTAAATCTTTGAAAATATAATTATGCACTTGTAATTGTTTTATTTGTTTATTCTTGATTGCATTAATCTCAACAGGTTATGGAAAAGGAAAACAGGAAGTTGTTTGCAAGGCTTGAGAATCTTGAAAGGATAAAAAGAAAATACACAAGAAAAGCAAATAACTGAAAAACACTGTTAATTGTAAAAAGTAATTGTAAATAATTGTCAGTATGTACATAACAAAGAGATTTCAGTTCATATTGAACAAACATAAATACTATACTGTACATGTAATATACAATATTATATATTTATTGCATTCTAATGAGTGTGTCAATGCGTGTAATTGGAAGAAAGGAAATGGGGAAAATTGATGTTGACTCAACTGATTCAGCATTGTACATTTCAATATGATTAATATTGACTAAAATTTGACTTATCATTTTATGGTCAATGTGCCCTTACTACTATGATATACAATAATAAAATTACAACACACCCTTGGATTTATTCTCACTCATTTTCACTGATGTCTAACAATATTAAAAATAAGGAATAATTATTTTTATGCAATAACGGGTTTACAATCTGAGTAAAGCTAGAGTTTAGACAATATTGGTAGTGCTGGCCAGATTCCTTATGGGGCTCACGGCAGCAACACCAGTGTAATACTTTAGCTGAACCTCGCGAGAAAGATTTTACAACCGCCGAGGCAAATTCAGCGCGCTTTGCAAACTTTTCAGTATCAGCTTGACTGTAAGTAACAAGATATGTACTTCTAACAGCATTCCTTTTCAATGATTCTGTTTCAGCAGTATGTTCGGGTGTTGCTCTATGTCGGAATTTTCGCTCTCATATTCTAGTAATCGCTCCATAGTCGTTTAAAAGGTCGAGATTGCGACATAATATAATTGCAATGGGCATATTTTTTGGTTTGACACAAAGTAGCGCGATACTGTTTATTTGATCGTAACTTCTTACCCGTGTTTTTTTAAGCTAAAAAGGTACATGTTAAAGTTTGTGCACATGATATCTAATATTTTATAAGCACTTTTACTATGCTAACATTCATGTTTCACGTAAAAATCAAATACTGTCAAAATACAATCTCGGACAAAACTGTTCAAACATTTCTTGAAATAGATTGAATTTCGATGACCTATCGGCGTAGTTTCTGTAAAAAATCTCCCCCTTTCTCCCTCAAATCAATGTTGAAGCTGAACATTCATGCACACCCTTCTAGCATCACGTCTRACACACAACATTGAACTGTKGGGGGAGGGGAGGATCAGAAATAGTGACTTTTTAGAAAGATGAGAAATGGGAGTATTTCGGCGCTTTCCGGGATTGTACATTGGTTTGGTCAGTGTACCAGTCCAACAACAACTAAATGGAAGTGACTGTGGAGTATTTGCAATTGCATTTGCAACCTACCTTGTCTATGGTTTCAACTCTAAAATGCGTCCACATCTGTGTCAATGTTTGAAAAATGGTGAAACAACAATGTTTCCAAAACTTTAGAATATTCTATAGTATTTTTTTATAGAAACGCTAGTTATTACAGTGGGGAAACTTTAATAACATACAATGGACGTACAATGATACAGCATTGACCAGTTAAATTCAAGCTTTTCCACATTAATTAGATAGCTTGAGTTTAAAGCTGCAATAGGGTTGGTTTGTTTTCTAATTTATTTTTTTGGCCCTGCTTTCGATAGCACTGTAGTAGCTTTCATAGGTGACATCAAAAAAATGTACCACACAGTTAAAACAACAGTACTGGATCAACATACTCACCGCTTTTTGTGGAGGGATATGAACACGGACAGAACACCTGACACCTATGTAATACAAAGAGTCTCGTTTGGAGATAAACCCTCAGCTACAATTGCTACAATGGCCCTTCGCAAAACAGCAGAAATGGGAAGCCAGCAGTACCCTGATGCCGCAACGATAGTGCAGCACAACACGTATATGGATGACATCATAGAAAGTACCGCGGACATTCCAACTGCACATAAGCTAACACAAGACATTGAGAATTTAATCATCAAGGGCGGATTTCGACTGAAGGATTGGATCTATTCCCGCGACTCAATAAATAGTGAGAAGGCCTTACCACATGAGCCAAACGCAGCGACAGAAAAGGTGCTAGGAGTCATCTGGGACCCGGTCAAAGACCAATTATGCTTCTCAGCAAAACTCAATTTCTGCTCCAAGAAGAAACGCAAGATGCAGAAGCTCAACCCTATTAGGGATCCGAAGCTTACGTCACCACTTACGAAGCGCATGATATTGTCACAAGTAAATAGTATGTACGACCCTCTAGGACTGGCCGGACCCTTCACAGTACGAGCCAAGATCTTAATGCGACATTTATGGGCAAGTGCTGAAAAGTTAGATTGGGACGACCCAATTCCAGACGAAAATAAACTACATTGGTCATCGTTCTTTGACGAATTACCCGAAATGAATCAAGTGAGATTCGAAAGATGCATAAAACCTTCAGACGCAGTTTGCAATCCCGTACTTATCATATTCTGTGATGCTTCAGAGGATGCATATGGTTCTTGTGCATATGTAAGATGGAAACGACAGGGTGGAGGATATGCGTGCAACTTGATAGTTTCTAAAAATCGTCTTGCACCCATAAAAAAGTTGTCGATCGACAAAGTAGAACTGTGCGGAGCAGTGCTGAGCAAACGTCTTAAATCCTTCATTGATAAAGAATGCAGATATACCTTTGAGAAATGTTATTACATAGTAGATTCTCAGATAGTTCATGCAATGATACAGAAAAGTTCTTATGGCTTCAACACTTTCGCGGCTACACGAATCGGTGAGATTCAAGGAGGAACCAACATCGAAGATTGGTATTGGTGTCAAAGTCAGTATAACATCGCGGATTGGTTGACTCGGGGAAAGAAGCCAAGTGAAATTAGTCTTCACAGTGATTGGCAAGAAGGTCCTCCCTTCCTCAAACAACCTGAACGTGAGTGGCCTATCACCCGC